TCTCCAGTCTTTTAGCTCATTGGATGGTGATGCTTCTCTTTACAGCTATTGGCTTAACGGAGTTTCAGTCAGGCAATGCAAAAGGTGCAAAAAGCCTGGCGGCCATTTTGTTAATCAAATTCAACATTGTTTATGGCTGGAGCTGCTGTTCTGCTGAACACATTCCAGCAAACAATCTGTTAAACGATGGATCGCATGTGTACTGCTAGGAGAAGGTAAAGGTTCAGTTTTTGCAATAGCTTTGGAGTTTTGGTTGTTATCTTGCTGGAAAATAAGGTTGAAGACACAGCAGATGCGTTGTGGAGGCTCTTTGAAGTGGAAGGTTTTGGTGTTGTTGTTTAAGCTGTTGATGAAATTGTTGGAGTTGTTTGAAATGGTAGTAGTAGTTGTTGTTGTTGCTGTAGCTTGTATATTGTAGCTTGTAGATTGAAGCTTTTAGATTGTATATTGTAGATAGTAGCTTGAAGCTTGTAGATTGAAGCGTGTAGATTGAAGCTTTTGTAGCGCTTGTAGCTTTTGTAGCTTTGTAGTTGATGAGCAGAGCAGAGCATTCTTCCAAACAGAGATCCTGGTGATTGTAGCTTGTAGCTGCTTTGGTTGTCCATGCTGGTTTAGAGTTGTTTTTTCAACGGAGCTAGCTACGGTGAAGCTGCTTCTTCCAAACGAAGATAAAGTGAACTGAAAACTTAGACTATTTATGGTGCCTTAGGGCTCATATGATTGGAAGATTAGTGATTAGCAAATGCGAGACTGGACGTGATAAATCATAAGCACGTGATCCTCTCGAAATTAGTTTATGAATAAACTTCACTTAGTGGCAAAATATAAGAGTTTTAAGATTTATTTATTTTTTGGGATCTGTAAAAATCTTTTAATATTTGAAAGTACTTTGGTAAAGTAACTACTGTCAAGGTTATTGAACACTCAATCAGAAGTTTTCATCTGTATATTTCCCACTTTAAAAAAATATATTCAAACTTACGTTTTTTTTTTTTTTCATGGATTGTTTAATACCCATCGGACTTAGTGTGCAAGGTTTGTTTACGTGATGATTTTTTTTGCAAATGAATACTAAAAAAATGCATACGTAAATTTTAGACTTCAGTGTGCAAAGACCTTTACACTGAAATGTTTTAGTTTGTGTCTTTTTAAAATCGCAGGGTTTTTTTTCCTCTTTTCAATTTTTGCTCAAAATAAAAAAAACACCTAGACACATTCTAATGAAAAATATAATAAAACATCTTTAAAAATAAATAAAGCTTTAATAAACTGTTATTGTTTTTATGCTTTAAACCCCATGTTTGACTCATATTATATCGTTCATCACATTGTGTTTTCTCCGTTCTAATTTCCTCCTAATTTATCTCTTCTCACTTCTCTTTTTTTCTTCTCTCATCTCACCTTTCTTTCTCTGCCATCAGACTAAGTAATTAGTGTTTTTCTCAATAATCACAATCACAAACCAACTATTATATTGTAAACTCTTTGATTTGAAGATCTGATCTCTTGTTTGATGCCTCATTCTAAACACCAGACAAAAGAGAACAAACAGCAGCCAGTAGATATTCTGTTCGCCTACGGAATATGTTGTGTTGAGGACATTCAGCTTCCTGTTTAGCATTTGTTTTATCAGCTTCTATGCAATAAATGCGCTTATTTACACACAAAGCAGCCTCTGCAGTCTGTAATACAACAGCAATCTATTGTTCCACCGAGCGGCTGGAATATCGCAGTGCAGGTGAGAGCGCGTGAAAGAGAAAGTGTTCATTTTTCTCTGCCAAACTAACATACTTTCAGAGGTGACTGTAGAGTCATATTGCCGGAGGGCAGGATTACTCAGAATAGTTGTCTGGACTCCACAAAGCAGAAACTCCTCCTCCCGCATCTATCATCTCTCTCTGCCAGATCCCATCATCCAAGAAGTTTTGCGCTCGCTATAAATGAGTTTTTCTGGTTGCCGAGGAAACCAAATTAAGTTTAGCTTAGCTGTGGCGTGCAGGAATTTGTTCAACTCGAGAGCAAAATTTCCTGCTCTTCAAGTGCAATTGTACACTTTAGAGAGGTTTTCCACACCCCGCAATTCATATTGCCGTCATGACTGAGCGAGAACATTGAAGCGTTTCGCCTCAGCGCCTGCTATCCTGCTTTGCACTTTTGGAAGAGAACTCTTTTGAACTCTTTGCTCACATGTTGCGAGAAGCGGCCCCTCGGGGTCTCAGTTGAGCCTTCGCGCTTTGCTTTCCACATTTTTTTTTTCTTCCATGTGGTCAGAGATAGTAGGCGAGATATACACAGCAGTGAGCACCAAAAGCAAACATTGTTTGGGAAAGTTACTATTTACCGTCTCAATCAGGCTGTTTATTATTTTGCAAACATTAAACAAGATCGCTTTGAAGAGCTGCCAGAGAAGATGTTTTGATGGAGAAGATCTAAGGGGACGTCTGTGCCAAAAGGCAAGCTGATGGATGGATGGATGGATGGATGGATAGAAGGGTGGATGGATAGAAGGGTGGATAGATAGAAGGATGGATGGACACAGTACAATGGATGGATGGATAAATAAATGGATGGATGGATGGATGGAAAAAGTACAGATGGATGGATGGATAGATGATGGATGGATGGAAATAGTACAAATAAATGGATGGATGGGTGAATGGACAAAGTACAGTAGATAGATGGATAGATACATCCATAGACCCATCCATAGATCCATCCATCCATCTACCGTACTGTCCATCCATCCATCTTTTGTACTGTGTCCATCCATCCATCCATCCATCCATCCATCCATCCTTCTATCTATCTATCTATCTATCTATCTATCTATCTATCTATCTATCTATCTATCTATCTATCTATCTATCTATCTATCTATCTATCTATCTATCAGTGTTGTGCTGTAGCTTAACTACTAGTTTTTGCATTTCTCAGTAGTGTTGCGGTAGCATCACTACTTTCTAAATCAAGTAGCTTTTCAGTAGCAAAGCTTTTTTTTAGTCAAGTAGCACAGTAGCGTCCACACAAGCTACGTTTACCGATCATGGATCAATAAGTGACTGCACTGACATTTACGAAGCTGTGAGGTCAGTGTCTAGCTGATGAAAGTAAATCCATATGATAGCGAGAATCTTGATTTCTTCTTCTTGCTGTTTTACGGTGTTCGACAAGTTTTTGGTGCGTTACTTCTGTGTGTTACGATGCAATAACTTAATTTCTGATGCTGTGCTCAAAAAATACTAATACTTTACTATATATATATATATATATATATATATATATATATATATATATATATATATATATATAAAGTTGCTTTGATTTAAAAATGAAAATTGTAAAAATAGCTTAAATGTAGCTAAGCTACTTTTGCCATGTAGCTTTTAGCTTAGCTTGCTACATTTCCCAGGGGTTAGCTTTTACTGTAGCTTCATTTTAAGTAGAGTAGCTACACTCTAAATGTTGAGTTATTTAGTTAACCCAGTGGTTGAGTTATATATATTTTATGCTTTGTTGGGTTATTTTTAATATTTATTGGGTTATTTGTTTAATAACTCAACTGACACAAGACAGCTGTATTAACATGTGTGCGCAATGTTATTTTTGCATTATAAAGTTTATATAAGCTGTAACGCATTAATATTGTTATTTTTTTAATCAAATTACCTCTCCATGTCGTGTTTTTAAATCCGTTTCACCATCCAAGACCATCTTTTAGAAGTGATGCGTGTGTTAAAATGTTTGGTAGATTATGGACTGAGTGAAGCCTGCTGCAGCTGCTAGACAGTCTCTACAGCACACAGAGCTCCATATTCTGCTCCATCAACACGTGATTTTCTGCTTGCACAGTTTATATCTGTCTGCACTTTCTTCTGTTTCTACATTGTTTATGATTCTTGATTTATTTTATAAAAGTGTCTGAAACGGTATGTTATTTATTTATACAGCCATAGCTATAAAATTAATAGTAGTACTAGTAACAGTAGCAATAGTAAGATCTTAATGGAAAAAATAACATTTAATCAAAATAAACCAATGCATTGGGTTCAATTATATAATGCAATGCATTTTGTTAAAATAGCTCATAGTTGGGAAGGTGCTATAATAATATAATAATCTATAGTTGGGTTTTATGTTGGGGTATTTTTAACCCAACTATTTTAACTGAGTAATAACTTATCTCACTACATTTTTAAGGAGTAGCTTGCCCAACACTGCTATCTATTGTACTGTGTCCATCTATATATCATCTATCTATCTATCTATCTATCTATCTATCTATCTATCTATCTATCTATCTATCTATCTATCTATCTATCTATCTATCTATCTATCTATCTATCTATCTATCGTACTGTGTTCATCCATACGTCCATCCATCCACTTATCTATCCATTCATACATCCATCCAGTCGTCTATTTGACTACCTGTCTGTCCATTCGTCTGTCTGTCTGTCCGTCCGTCCGTCCGTCCGTCTGTCTGTCTGTCTGTCTGTCTGTCTGTCTGTCTGTGTCTATGAACACCAAAAGCAAACAATGTTTGGGAAAGTTACTTATTACCGTCTCAATCAGGCCGTTTATTATTTTGCAAATGTTAAACAAGGCCGCTTTGAAGAGCTGCCTGGGAAGTTGTTTTGAAGGAGAAGATTTGAGGGGACGTCCGTGCCAAAAGTGAAGCCGATGGTCTGAGTGTTGAAGACATAATGAAAGTGTGGGGGTGCAGGAAATGGATGGGAGACAGTAGAGGGGTGTTGAACTTCAAAAGGTCATTGGATATTCCTCCGCTGCTCTGTGGGCTCGGTGTGGGTGTGATACCTGCGGTGTAACATTTCCCTCTCTGTTGAAAACACACTCCACTTTCTTTGCAGAGGTCACGACCTTTCCATCAATCGTACTGCGGTTGACCTATGGAGGTATCCGTCCACTCCTCTCTCTCGCGCCCCGCTGGCTGGCCGACTGATCTTTTATATTCTTCTGTGTTTGTTCCCTCTTCTCAACAGCCCCGACGGAGCCGCTGCTGTGCAAGTTTGCAGACGGGGGACAGAAGAAGAGGCAGAGTCAGAGCAAGTACCCTCAGAATGGACGACCGTGGCCCCGGGAAGGAGAGGTGAGCTATCGTGCACTCAAAAATCTACCGCACATCCTGTAAACTACTCTGTTTCATTCTGCCTTTCAACAGCAGAAATAGTTAGAGTAGCAGTCTAGTAAAATGTTTGTCTGTCTGTCTGTCTGTCTGTCTATCTACCATATCCATCCATCCATCTTCCTATCTATCTATCTATCTATCTATCTATCTATCTATCTATCTATCTATCTATCTATCTATCTATCTATCTATCTATCTATCTATCTATCTATCTATCTATCTATCCATCCATCCATCCATCCATCCATCCATCCATCCATCCATCCATCCATCCATCCATCCATCCATCCATCCATCCATCCATCCATCCATCCATCCATCCATCCATCCATCCATCCATCCATCCATCCATCCATCCATCCATGTGTCTGTCTGTATGTCTTACTGTCTGTCTGTCTGTCTGTCTGTCTGTCTGTCTGTCTGTCTGTCTGTCTGTATGTCTGTCACCAGGCATGGGATGCTTTTAAATAGCTTTAAAAAGTATGTGCACTATTTAATTATTTATTTTATTAATTATTTATTTTTATTTTATTTCATAATTTAATTAAATTACTTTAGAGTTAGCAATTGGGTTCAACATTATAATTTGAGTGTACTTACAAGTGCTCTTGCCAGGTAAAAATTCAAATAGTATGTGCAAATTACTCTGACATGAAAATATTCTGGTCATGTTCATGATACTGTTTATATTTTAGCAAATACAACTTTGATCTTGTTGATTGTAACTATGGTGATGATTTGATGATGTGCGAAACGCGCTCTGCAGCACAAAACTCATCCTCTAGTACTTAAATCGGCCAGTCATTGACTCACTGATAAATGAAATCTTACTCCTGCTGATCTGTGATCGAAATCTTTCATTTTTATACTGTAGTGTATTTTCTCTTACACAACTAAATGATATTTATTACTATTAAAAAATCAAAATGACGTTGATGGCGGTGACGTGGTGGGCAAGTGACAAAATTGGTAACATAAGCACCTTTCACACAGTGATACCAATAAATATCTGTAAAGTTTACTGAATGACTTTAATTCAAAAAAGCGCTGTTCACACAGGCAAGGATGTTGATGATAATGATTTCACTTTTTTTTTTTTTTTTAGCATTTATGCAGCTGCTTTTTGTCCCAGAGACATCCAAACGCAGAAGCACTAACCCCTGCTACATGTTTACGCATTTAACTACATCACAAACTTTGTGAATGGATAAGCATTGTTAACAACTTCGACGAAAACATATGGAGGAACGCTTTGACATGTCGAGATATACATAATATGTGTGTGTGCTGGCGCTCACTGGAGCACTTGACGTGCACACGCGTTAAACAACTGAAGCAGAGCTTGAAGGTAAATAAACAGCGGTTTATCAGAAGCATTTTATCAATAATTTTTTCCATAGTTGGCATTAAGAAGGAAACATAGAAACTTATTTGACTAACATCTAGCAGCCGAATGTGTCTTAAAAAATATTCAAAGGCTTTTATTTCATAACCAGCACAGATGTGAATGCGTCTGAGTGTTCTGATTGGCTGGAATAGATGTCTCTCATCAGTGCTTTCTAATAGTGAACATGCTCTTTCCGGCAATTTTTCTTCTGCGTTCACACAGAGCAGTATTCCAGCAAATTACCGTTAATGTTACAACTTCTCTTTCTGGAAATTTGCAGAAATTAATTTACCGTTATTTTCAAAAAGTGCCTGTTCACAAATCCAGACCTTTCTGGAAAATTGCAGAAGGGTCTGCATGTGTGAAAGGGGCTATTAACTATCGCACCAAGCCTAAACTTTTAAAATCTCCAATAATGATTCTCTGAATGGAACATAAATTTTGTCAAAGTTGGCATAAAGTTTCTATCAAAATTAAGTCATTTTGAATATAAAAAAGAGATTTAAAGGGTAATGTCAATTCAATTCTAAGTGACACACAATCCTGAATCTTTTCAATCCGAGTTTCCATCCTATTTTACCAAGACACCAAATGTGTAGAAGGGAATAATTCCTTTGTTTCAACTGCACAACACAAGAAAAGAGAATGGGGGGTGTGAGAAAACATTTGATTGATGGAGTCATCTGGCCACGTTTAAGTTCCCAGTCTTTCTCTCAAGTCCTTTAATCTCTCCTCTCCTGTTTTTATTCCCGCGAAGCAAGTCTCGCCGTCTGGGCTGGCTGATGGGAAAATGGCGGCGGGTGAACAACTGGCATTTTCTGGGCAGCCCCAGCTGCTGGCATGACGTGGCGGTTCAGGGAAGCGTGCCCAGATACCGACCAGACCGTGAGCGCCCATTATGAGGAGCTGGCAGCCGCTATGACTTTGGCTGCACTCTCTCATGAAGGCGTATTTCAATATGCAACCCCAGGGGTCCACATTAACTAGATAGAGTGTCCAGCCACACGTAGGTTAGGTCGATGGTTTTCCCACCAGTCTCCAGGTTTTCTCCCCCACTGAGGAAAACTTGGCGCCCAAAAAAGCTGCAGTATATGAGCGTTGTTTATCTGCTCCAGTCCAATATGGGTCTAAGCGGCCAGCTTTTCCCCCCTTATTCACTTAGCTAGCACGGCTCTGTCAACATGAGCTATGCTTTCTGCAGCCTTGTAAATACCAAATAACTTTGTGCCATATCGAACCTGAACCCGTCTGGTATTACAGCCCAGCGATCTAAGGTAATAGATCCACGGCTACAAGTCTCAGCCATGTGCTTTTAAAGATATAAAGAGCACTTGGCCGGCCCCTATTAGATGACCCTGTTCTATTGCCAGCATTACTCAATAGACTTTATAGGATACTTGCTTCACTGGAACAATCTTTCACTCTTTGTGCTGTCTGCCTTGTGTTTCAGAGTGGCATGGCGCTGACCTATGACCCCACCGCAATGCAGAACGGGTAAGACTCATTTGTTGTTTTTGTCCAAAGGTAAACGATGTATAAGCTACTAGCAGTGGATTCTGCAATAGACATGCAATCATTAGCATACAGTGTTTTACTAGTCTATGGAGTCAATCTAGGGCCATATATACTTGCAAAATAAAAGAGTTTTGCAAACCAAAAATAAAGAATGGAGCAAAAAATGAAATAAATACATGCAAATCGCAAAAAAATCACAAAGCGAAAATAATTTTTTCAGAAATAAAAATTAATTTTGCTTCTAAAAATTAAGAACTGCAACGGGAAAATTACATTTTGAGAAATAAAAACAAACAACGTGCAAATATATATAAAATATGAAAGTCAGTAATGCGGAAATGGAGTGTGCTGCTAGTAGCGGAGATGAAAAAAAGATGGAAATGATCGAACCTAAAGCGGGTGTTGTCGCCGCGCGCGTGCTGAATAGCGGTGCTGTCGCGCGCGTTCTGATCAGCTGTGTTGTGGCGCGCGTATTGTAAAGCGACGAGGGGGGGGGTTGAGCGCGCATACTCAAGAGAGGTGTTGTCTCGCGCCTACTGAAGGGCTGGACTGGACGGAGGTTGTGTCGCGTCGCGGGGGCACTTTTGATCGTTTTGGAAGGGCATTTTCTATCCAAGACTAAAAAGGGCATGTGCACTGCACAGGTTGAGCCCTATGTGTGCACGTGCCTGCAAGTTGGGGAATACGACTAATAACAGTTATGGGGACTGCAGAAACACAGCACACTGTTCAGATTGATGCAGACATTGACTTGTACCGCAAAGAGATCTCTATCTCACTCATGGTTTGTCTTCTCAAGTGGGGGAAAGACAATGCACAACGTTACCCCACTGCTGTCAACCTGGGCCAAGTCATATCTCTCTTGTCCCAGAAACCTCAGTCCTAAATGAGAGGGGTTTTTTTCTGTTGCAGGGGACATTGTAAATACCCAGAGATACCAGCTTTTACCAGATTATAATTATATGATAATTTTCCTTTAAACCCATCTCTATCTAAGTGAGTGAGTGATTAAATGTTGAATGTGATGAGTTTTCAACAATACTAAATTGAAACTTTATTTTTTTACATGGTTTAATAATTTTTTGTTATTAAAATTGAAGTTAGTGTTTCAAAGCTTACAGATAGATGGCTAATTTGTATGTCATTGACACTTTTGGCACTTTTTTGGAGTATTTTCAAAAGTTTTTTTTTTTCCGGAAAATGATTCAATAAATACCGTACCGTGACATTCATACCGAGGTATTACCGAACCGTGAAATTCTGATACCGTTACATCCCTAATATATATATATATATATTTATATATATATTTGACAGGGGGCAGAGTCAAAAGAATGCAATAAACGCCCAAGTTCCCTTGACTCCACCCTCTTGTCAAATCAGTATCACAAAGTGAAACAAGCAGAAACATGAAGGGCACACATGGGGTGTATATATTGTTTTTTTTGTATTTTGTATTTTTTTGTTTTTATATTTATATTTATATATTAGTTTTTTATTGCACTGTTTGATTTTTATTTGCAGTTTTTTGTTTTCAAATTTCAATTTTATTTCTCAAAACTTAATTTTCCCTTTGCAGTTCTTTATTTTTGTTTGCAAAATCTATTTTTATTTCTCAAAAATGTATTTTTTTGCTTTGCGATTTTTGGAGATTTGCATATACTTATTTCAATTTTTGCTCAATAATTTATTTTTTGAATGCAAAACTTTATTTTATTTTGCAAGTATATATAACCCTAGACAGACCCTATTCTTGTCTTATAAGTCATCTATTGTGAGACGTTTTATGGAATTTATTCATTGATTAAAGACTCTTATTTACAGTGTCGGGGGTAACGCATTGCAAGTAACGCAAGTTGCATAATAATATTACTTTTCTAAAGAGTAAAGTAACATTTTACTTTTCAAATTTAAGCAGTATTATTTGAGTTACTTTTTTAAAATTTGTAAAATAAGTTACAAAAACAAGTTCTGATGCTAAAAGTAGAAAAAAAACGTAACTCTAAAGTAACATAACATATTACTTACCAAAACTAAGTTACGCAATTAGTTGCTTTTTTGGGGAGTTGCTCAATATTGTAATGCATTACTTTCAATAGTAAGTTTCTCCAACACTGCTTATTTATACCTATGCACATGTATTTGATTTATTCATCTTTGTTTCTATAGCGCTTTTACAATGTATGCTGTATCAAAGCAGCTTAACATAGAGGTTCTAGTAAATTGAAACTGTCAAACTAGTTTTCAGAGTTGAATTCAGTTTAGTTCAGTTCAGTGTGGTTTAAAATTCACTGCTGAAAGTCCAAACACTGAAGAGCAAATCCATCAATGCGCAGCTTCACAAGTCCCAAACCAAGCAAGCTAGTGGCGACAGTGGCAAGTAGCAAACTTCACCAATTGATGAAAGTGAAGGAAAAATACCCTGAGAAAAAAAAGGCTCTAATTGCAATAAATGCAATAATGTTGTTAAATAATTTATTACCATTTTAAGTAGCTGTTTTCAGTTTAAATAAAAAATGTCTTCCAGTAATGGAAAAACTTTATTTTCAGCAACTTTTTTTTTAGCCGTGATCCTTCAGAAGCAATTTTAATGGGCTGATCAGGTGCTCAACAACATTTTATTAGATTGTCAATGTTTCAAAGAGTGCTGTCAAACAATTTAATTGATACTGATTCTTTATTGGGAAAAAAGGGGTAATAAATGCATTTATTTTAAATATTTTATAAGATTTTAAAATGGCTTCACTCTGACCTTTGATCTATGTAATGCATCTTTGCCGAATAAACATGTATTTATTAATACAAAATACTATAATAATATATTTTACAAAAATTATGCTTTTTTAAATTTATTTTAATGCAATTGTTTAAATGTTTAATTCAATCATCTTTTGTATTATAGTGGACATAACGGTGGATGTTTGGAAATACATTATAATGATAATAACATGCATCAAGCAAACAATTCACAAGAACATATGTGTATGCCAACAACACGGAACGTTTCACAATTGGTAAAACAAAAAAATAGAAATCATTCCACCTCCTGAGGGTCATGGATAATCCACAAGGGGGCAGAAGACATGTTTTACAACATATACACTATTATTTAGAGGATGTTATTGATAAATACTGGTCAACTAGTTTCCTTAACTAATTAGCCAGCTTCCCAGCAGCTGAGTTAACAATGTCTGAGATGCAGTGAGTAAGACTTAACTTTACAAAGCTGTCTTATACACTGGTGTGCACACACACATACACACCAATACTGTCATATCCAATCTGCATTTTGTGCTATTGTTGCAGCGAAGGCTGTAAGTGTTTCGTCAGGTGCTGGTTTCAGGGCAGGGAGATGGGTGCTGGGATAGGGGAAATAAAGCCTTTCTGTCTGTCCACTCCAGTGGACGGAGTGCCCAGGGCTCTGTCTCAGATCCAGCTCTCCTGGGAAACAGTCACAGTCATACCTCAGCTACCAGCTCCGGCTGCTTCTGCACCCCTGACTCAGCAGGAAAAAGGGAACGAAATAAGGAATGACAAAAATATGCAACGGGGGAAAGAAGGGCAGATTCTGAATTGTAAATAAACGAGCTGACTCGAAAGATGCAGAGGAATAGAACGCTTATTTGTATCCTTTCTACTCCTCATCACTTTGGACAGATTAGCATGTATATATAGAGAGTTCATACAGTCTTAATTGTTTAATGGCCCGTGCTGTCTCAATGTCAGTGCACTGAAGCTAATAGCCGGCATAAATACACCAGAGAAGATGCTACGCTAAAAAAAGGATTGCGCGGCTAATGTAAACCGATGTGTAAAGCTTCACATTTTGAAGCTCCTCTGAGATATTGTGTTACCATCTTCCTGGACGTGTTCTCACTCAGGTCATCTTGTGTGACTGTGACATAAGGGAGCATGAGCTCTCTGGGGCAGACAGCATTTCTTTCCCCACGCTCCATTTCTCAGCTACCAGACAAGCCGATCAATAAAGCCTAGCAACGGAGCTTGCAGATGAAACATGTCCGCAGTAGGTACACAATGATAAATAAAGTCCAGGCCGAGAACTGTAGCTATTGGAAAATGTTGTTGCTCGGGTAACAAGGAGGAATCAACAAATGAACTGTTGTGACAAACCTATGCAGATAAAAACACACAAATATACAGCTAAAACTCAGACACGATACTTTTATTAATCTGTGTGTGGTGTATATTAAACAAACACTTCAACAGACATGCAGTAAATTACTCAATACTGACAATATTATAAATGATTTGTTTAAAATGCATGCAGTTCTTAATAATGTTTTGTTCTTTGTGATGGGACATCCCAAATGGGACATGTTCCTGGATTAACATCTATGTTCATCCTGGATAAACATTCCAATCAGCCAATCAGAATTAAGTGATTTGTTTACAGTTTATGTTTAGGCCTATGGTTAGGTTTATGCACTTTTACATGATACATGATTTTACATCATCAACTATTATTTCCCTCTGATTTGGGGAATAGTTTACAGTTATGGTCGGGTTTCGGAGTAAGTGTAACGTGACCCTAACAACAGGGGTGCGGATCAAAATGCAGGCTTATTAGAGAGGTCAGGTAAGCAATGGTCAACACAGGGGCAAACAGATGTGTATGGGCAATCCAGAGTCGTAGTCAAATAAACAAGGCGAGGATCAAAATACTTCAAAGAAAGACAAAGGAAACACGTTGTAATGTGACTAAACAGTAAACAAGACTCAGCAATGAGTGTCTCAAAGTGAGACATATATATGCGTATGTAATCAGTACTTGAGCAGCATCAGCTGTGTGTTTGCAATCAGTCAGCATCAGGAACCGGTTGTGTGTGTGTGCATGTGTGTGGTGCATGACTATGGCTGTTTCTCAATATGCGTTCTTCAGCGGTCTTGCGTCCTCGTGTTCTCGTGCAACGTCATCATCAGCTGCCTAAGTTCAGTTCCAATACTCAAGACCGCAAGTACGGAGGACGCGTGAAACTTCCCGGATGTGTTCTTGATATCGAGGACACACTGATGCAGACTTGAGCACCGAACTCGCTCTGGAAGTCCCAGAAGTCATTGCGACTGGATGTGGGAAGCGCAGCATTTTATTTAGATTTATTATTAAAGTTCAGAGATATCACTTATTTACCTCAGGAGTTTCCCTAAATGAAACGGTGAAAATAAACATTAACATGGACATCTTAATATAGGAATAAACACATTAAGGGTGTTTGTTTGCTGTAAATCGTTTTAAAATCTGTTTTATTTATATTGTGCAGAGCATATTTATAATGTTTTTATGCAAAGTATATATTTTGAAGAGGGGAAAAACAATAAATCGTTGTATGAATGCTGTAATGTTTAAATAATTTCCATTTTAAACACGTGAAGGTCATGTGACCATCGGAAAGAACGCAGCATCCCATTTCTCAAAGGACGCGTTCTCTGCCCTCGCAGTCTCCTGAGTTCGTTCTTTCGAGTACACCTGGCAAGACCGCTCTCCACAAGAACACAAGTCCGTTCTCTGCGTTCTTGGAATTGAGAAACAGCCTAGGTCTTGTGGTCCATAATGGCAGATTTGTAGTGCGTTAGTGATCCGTGTGTATACCAGCGATCTGAAGCCACTAGATCCCTGATAATCATTAGAGTAGGGAATAGGTATGGATTATGGTATTTGCGAACAAAAATGATGTTCCAGCATCAACATAGATGTTAATTCAGGATCGCATTGTACTTGACAAAATAATAACTTTGTTGTATGTGAAACAGCAGCAATCATATTAGACAAAAAAATCATGTTGTCTGAGCTTGGCACTATAGAAACAAGAAAATAACATATAAAAATGTGCTAATATTGTATTGCGTTTCTTCCAGGTTCTACTCCTCACCCTACAGCATCTCCACAAACCGCATGATCGCTCAAACGTCAATCACTCCATTCATCGCAGCCTCTCCTGTCTCCACATATCAGGTAAGATCACAGCACATAGAGAGTGTTCAGAAAAACACTTGCTGCAGGCAAACTAACTCCAGCATGTACAGGCATTCATACAGTGGCCCCAAGAAACATTTGCACACATGATATACTGCATGTAACTTTTGCATTTGTTTAAAAGGGGTCATGAACTGTTTTTTTTTTTTCTCTGTGGGCTACATACATTGTTAGAAAGATTAGAATTTTAATAAATGACACAACATAGAAGTAGCTGTATATTTTCTGTGCTGTTTGATCCTCTTTGAAACACTTAGAAACTTTTGGTTTACGTTTTCAATTTAGTTTGTCACGTTCAAAATGCTTCTTAGCATCCATAATTGGGACTCTGTATTTTGGTTGTGAAGAACAGAATAAAGCTGATACTGTGGCACAGTCACCTCACAGCAAGAAGGTCACTGGTTCGAGTCCCAGCTTGATCAGTTGGCATTTCTGTGTGGAGTTTGCATGTTCTCCTTGTGCTTGCATAGGTTTCCTCTGGGTGCTCCAGTTTCACCCACAGTCCAAAGACATGTAGTATAGGTGAATTGAATAAACTAAATTGGCTGTAGTGTATGTGTGTTTCCCAGTACTGGGTTGCTGCTGGAAGGGCATCTGCTGCGTAAAACATATGCTAGATAATTTGGCGGTTCATTCCGCTATGGCAACCACTGATATATAAAGGCACTAAGCCGAAGGAAAATGAATGAACGAATGAATGAAGAACACAATTGAACTTTACATTTACAACACTGTTAAATAAAACTTTAGCTTAGTTAAGTTTAGTTTAGTCTAGTTTAGTTTAGTTTTATAGCACATTTTACGACAGTCAACCAAAGTGCTGTACAGAAAAGTAACATAAAAAATAGTAATATAACAAAACACAACACACAAACTAAAATATACACACTAGCCAAATATAAAAAATAAACACACACATATATTAATATATGTATGTATGTATGTATATATATATATATATATATATATATATATATATATATATATATATATATATACACTGTTAAATAAAATAAGTGTTTAGTTTAGTTTAGTTTAGCAGAAAAGTAAAATTATATAATTTATAAGTTATAAATTTAGTTAAATAACAAAAAAATTGAACAAAACACAACTAAAAAAAACTAAAATTTACACAAAACTTATCTTACTTCAGCCCTAAGCCTTTTTAAAAAAGACATGTCTGTATAAAAATGAATTTATAGATAGGGACAATCTGTTTAAAAAAACACATTTATAAGTCAGTTTGAACCGAGTTATTAATAAACTGAGCAAAATAAATAGCAAAACATAAATTACAAACCTGTTCATTTCATCATGAAATAAACATAAAGAACAACATTACATACAGTGTGCCGCTTATCAAAGCTTTAAAATTAACCTCTTTCAAAGCATGTCTCTGTTTTATGTTCATAAGGCATTGTGGAAAAGCACAAGTCTTTACTCTGACTCAATTTACTTTAACTCTTTTCTTCCATATGTAAACATAACTTAAAGTGGCAACCATTGTTTGGTCAATTATACAAGACTTGGAAGTAAACACCCTCAGCTATAATTGAAACATTTTATTTTGATTTTTAGGTGCGTGCGTGCATGCGTGCGTGCGTGTGTGCGTGTGTGTGTGTGTGTCCGAACATTTGTGCTAATCTGACATCAATGAGAGAGAGATTTACTATAGTCACTTTTTTATGTATAACGTAGCTTTATGCTGTTGCAGTGGCATATGATGCAACACAACAACAGTTGCATCCAGTGTAAAACTTGGCAAAACAGAAAGTCTTGTAATCCTTGGAAACATAGAGAGCATTTTTTAACAAGCTCCTCCGGCCCCAATCCTACCTCTCATCCGGGTCACTGCACTAGTGTGACCCCTCCAGTTCTACTCGCCCCACTCTGAGCAGGATTTAAACAATATGGGCGAACAGTTGTCACCAGGGTTTATTCACACAGCTCCTATTAGCTGAAGTCTAATAAATTACACACACATCAGGCTAAAAAGGCAATGATGCAGAAGTAGGCATTGTTCTTCTGCATTATGACCATCATGCTGACACAAAATATAAAAAAATAGATTTTCCACAGCATATTATGGTACGACATAGCTCAGCTCCTTGACCTGCTGTCATTTCAGGTGTCATTTTCTTGTGATAAAATGGTATAAAATCGGTTTAGTTGGGTGGAGAAACAATTGACAAATTACCATGTTAGTAAACATTCAGGATGCGCCTGCAGCGAGGTTGCAGGAAAAAACGGGAGCGCTATCATTTACAGCAAGGGAATGACATCCCGTGCAGGACAGAGTTTGTTGTTGTCTTAGAAATAAGTTATATTGATTACATATTATATACATTATTTACATAATGCTTTTAGCCTATTCGTAAGCACAGTGATTCGGCAAAATTAACGTTAAAGTGAGCGGCGTTCGTCTGACAGGTCCATCAGCGATAGCACCCTCCCAATGGATATTGGATAATACAAAATGGTCAAGCATCCAGCCCGAAATATACAACTATCCCAGTGAAACTCCAAATAATTTTACAAGAGAGAAGTTAAAAGCCTACAAATCTTTAGATGCCAACACTTTTGTTATGTGTGGTCATGTGCAAGAAATAATGTTCCATGATTACCAGATTCAAAATTTTGTAATGCTAAAAACAAGGAAAGAAGGCGGAGCATATATAAAAGGCCTGAGTAATTAATCATCAACAAGCAAAACTGCATTCTGACGACGAACCCTTGTACACTTGTACAGAAGGGTATGTGAACTTGCACTTTCACAATTCATTCTTACCATTCAGTGTCCGCAGTTTAATTAACCATATGTAACTGCTTTTGCTGAAATCATTGCTGCAATCAAAAATGAGTAATGTGTATGATGCAGCATAGCGTGAACTTACCTGATATGAAATGAGAACTGCAGAGTCCAGCATTTTTAATTAGGCCATTTCTTTATTCAGCTCCCTTTTAGCCAAAGACGTCTGCGGTTGGCGTTAAAAGCAGTGTGGTGTACAGTAAAAGTTAGGTTTTCTATATTTGGACGAATTTGGCATCCTACCGCACAACACAACCTGTTTGCTTTTGCAACAGGGAATCCGTATGACGTCATGTGTGTAATTTGTCTATATAGCAGTGACTGCTGATTATTAAAATACAGTGAGTTTGGTGTCTCGTCTCGCAATTCAACTTATGATAACAGTAACAATTCTATCTGACCAGTTGCTGGTTATCAGTGTGTATACGCTATGTTTTGGTAATAGTATAGCTCCCTTGTAAAATGAACCTGCATGGTGAACTGCTCTTCCATGCAGTGGAAAATGACCTGTAGTAGCTTGAGTTCTGTACAAGCTGGACTAAAACCCAGGATAATAGTCGGCTTTTAGGGCTTCATTGGTCTGTTGGTCAGGGTAGTTGGTTTGGTGTTCCACATGTGAGCTCTCGTCAGGTTATCGATGGATCGTGTTGGCCCAATTCAGCACGGAGAATCAGCATCAGAATGAATCAGAGTCAACTAAATCAAGTAATCAAGTAAAAGTTCTAGTCAAGTAGGATCACAAAGAGGCCGGCTGTAATTTTGCTACATTTCTCTAATGTTTGCAAATGATATGGATTGTTAGATTATCAGACATATATGCACAAGTGAATCCCTCCGTGACAATTACTGTAAAAATGGTACCAAATGCTGCTTTGTTTACGCTTTTTGGGTGCGTGTTAAAATTTCAAATTCCTTTGGGTAATGATAAAACAGATGCTGCCCCCCGCGGAGCGAAAAGACCTGTCCTTTTGCACAGGCGCAGAATGCGAATCTCGTTTCAGTTGGCTTTTGTCCAGTTGGTGTGTTCATGCACAGCTTTTTGGTCCTGATGCAATGTGAGGCAGCAACACATTTGAGTTTTGTTGGTGCTAATTGTTGGGCATCAGGAAGTTTTGACTTGCCAAAGGTCAATGAACATTTGATTTCCCAATTCATGGCTCCTTTAAACAAAACAGATGACTGGTTTTAAGCAAAAACATTCATGAATTAATTAATTTACACTTGATGAGTTTAAATAATTATACAGAAAAAGTGTAGATATTCATGAGAAAAGAGTGCCACGTTTGATAGCTAATTTGGTAATGCTATGATGTTTTATTTGTAACTTGAGTGTCTATAAGTGCTATTTACAGTAGGCCACAGTATTCAAGCAAAGAACATACAAACACAAACACATATGGTGAGAGCATTCTGAGGTATAGCACGTTTCCGTCAATCTCCATGTGTGCCGTTTTGTCAGGAAAGCTTATTAATGCCTTTTCTCCAGCCCTGCATCAGATGGAGTGAGCAAACAATGACTATGAGCATCCTTAATTGATTTGGCTTAAGCTAAACTAAACAAAACATTGCTGAGCACAGAGAAAAGCTAAGCCCTTTAGATCATGCACCTCCCGTCCTCACAAGAATCGTGCAAAGTCACACACACATTCAAGAGCAGCAGCGCTTATATACAAACCACCCACGCTGACCGAGTCCTAGTCCAAGCTCTCGACCGCACATTTGTTATGATAAATCCTGCACGCCAGCAAAGGTTATCTCTTAATCAAATTTTCGTGATATCATGTGCAAACGCGCCCCGCCGGCCGGCGAATTAATTTTAAATTGCAAACTGCGCTGAACCCGCCAAAACGAGTTCAAAGCCAAGCTGACGGGAAATCAATGCACTGCTACCTTTATTTCTCCCCTAGAACTTGCAGAATGGAACAAGAGACAACTGCTTCACTCTCTGGTGAAAGGACAGAGAGAAAGAGAGAAAAAGCATGAATCTTTTAGCAGTCTGCGAGAGAGAGAGAGAGAGAGAGAGAGAGAGATAGAGAGAGAGAAGGTGTGCGCTTACACATCTTAGTGGACTTAGTGTGTTTAGAGAGAGGCAGAGAGAGAGACGCCCGAGGCAGATCACAGTGATGAACAAATCCCCAAGGCTTTTCTTCCTAGAGCAACATAAAAGGACACCGCATATAAATTTAGACACCTACAACTGTTCAAACGCACTTTCACCATACTAAATGCATACATCCATCCTCTTATAGGAAGTGGCCACTTATCCTCCATTCCATGTGCTATCAAAATACCACAGTTCAGGATATCTTGCTATTTTATTGTCGATGAGATGCTGTTGCAGGTTTGTCTTTTATATTTTCCGCTTCATATTAAAGGTGCTGTATGTAAGTTTTTTTTTTTTTAAATTAGATTCAACTTTATTGTCATTACACATGTACAAGTACAATGCAACAAAATGCAGTTTAGGTCTAACCAGCAGTGCAATAGCAGCAAGTGCAAGATACTGTACAGGAATAAGTTATAAAGTGCAGTTATAGAAAACTATAGTGATATTTACAGATGGATGTACTATGAACATTATATACAGGTTGGATAAGCTATGAACAGATTTACAATATATGAATATATGTACAGGGATAGATAAAACATGATTATAAGTGTATATGTTACAATATATGAATATATGTGCAGGTTGCTATTAATAATCAGTAGTGTGCAGATAGATAAACATGATTACAAGTGTATATGTTACAATATATGAATATATGTACAGGGATAGATAAACATGATTACAAGTGTATATGTTACAATATATGAATATATGTACAGGGATAGATAAACATGATTACAAGTGTATATGTTACAATATATGAATATATGTACAGGGATAGATAAACATGATAACAAGTGTATATGTTACAATATATGAATATATGTACAGGGATAGATAAACATGATTACAAGTGTATATGTTACAATATAAGAATATATGTACAGGAATAGATAAACATGATTACAAGTGTATATGTTACAATATATGAATATATGTACAGGGATAGATAAACATGATAACAAGTGTATATGTTACAATATATGAATATATGTACAGGGATAGATAAACATGATTACAAGTGTATATGTTACAATATATGAATATATGTACAGGGATAGATAAACATGATAACAAGTGTATATGTTACAATATATGAATATATGTACAGGGATAGATAAACATGATTACAAGTGTATATGTTACAATATAAGAATATATGTACAGGAATAGATAAACATGATTACAAGTGTATATGTTACAATATATGAATATATGTACAGGGATAGATAAACATGATTACAAGTGTATATGTTACAATATATGAATATATGTACAGGGATAGATAAACATGATTACAAGTGTATATGTTACAATATAAGAATATATGTACAGGAATAGATAAACATGATTACAAGTGTATATGTTACAATATATGAATATATGTACAGGGATAGATAAACATGATTACAAGTGTATATGTTACAATATATGAATATATGTACAGGAATAGATAAACATGATAACAAGTGTATATGTTACAATATATGAATATATGTACAGGGATAGATAAACATGATAACAAGTGTATATGTTACAATATATGAATATATGTACAGGGATAGATAAACATGATTACAAGTGTATATGTTACAATATATGAATATATGTACAGGGATAGATAAACATGATAACAAGTGTATATGTTACAATATATGAATATATGTACAGGGATAGATAAACATGATTACAAGTGTATATGTTACAATATATGAATATATGTACAGGAATAGATAAACATGATAACAAGTGTATATGTTACAATATATGAATATATGTACAGGGATAGATAAACATGATAACAAGTGTATATGTTACAATATAAGAATATATGTACAGGAATAGATAAACATGATTACAAGTGTATATGTTACAATATATGAATATATGTACAGGGATAGATAAACATGATAACAAGTGTATATGTTACAATATATGAATATATGTACAGGGATAGATAAACATGATAACAAGTGTATATGTTACAATATATGAATATATGTACAGGGATAGATAAACATGATTACAAGTGTATATGTTACAATATATGAATATATGTACAGGTTGCTATTTATAATCAGTAGTATGCAGATAAATAAGCATGATTACAAGTGTATATGTATAGTGGGTGTGTACATAATTACAAATGCCCATATGCAGTGGGTATGTACAGTTCAATACGTAAACAGTTTAATGTGGTGCAGTGAATGTGCAAATTTTAAACGTGCAAATGTTAAACAGTGCAGTTATTGCGAGGAGTTTAAGTTAGAGGAGAGTGGGGGGTGTATTGGGGGGGCAAAAGAGTCAGTGTGGGGCAGAGTTTAGGAGGGAGACAGCTCTGACTGTTTTTGACTGTTCTAAAGCATAAAAATACCATAATATGTTTGCAGATATTTAAGAAACATGCTCAGCGAAAAACAATGCTGAAGTCAGATATTCAGCTTTGAAAATGTGAGTTACTTGTGTTTGTTTTGATCTCTTTAACCAGCCCAATGCCACTTTAGCCAACTACATTTTAGCACCCTGGGCTGCCTAGTTGGAAAACCACATATTTTATTTATTCATTCAGAAAGCCTCTCAAAGCATGCACCCATGACCAAATTGTGACCTCCAGTTGACATTAGCAGACTTCAAAATGAGACACAGATTCAGAGTTCCACATTAGGTTATTAGCAAATATTATAAATATTACAAGCACAAACATCAGGTGAGCAGGTTATATTGTAACCCTGTGTCCTAACAACACACTACAGTACGTGACGAGATTTGCAGTGATAAGCAATTGGGCTGTTTGCACCAGATAAAACACAACAGAAACTTGCACTTACTTCACTCCAACGAAATAGTAAGGTTTATAATCTAATTAATACATATTAAACCTCTTTAACATTATTAAATGCAGATGCTGAATCACTGATATGTGTTTGTTTGCACTGAATTATAGTTCTAAAGTCCAATTTCTAGTAGTTTATTTAATTTTTTAGATCTGAGGTGAACTATCTTCTGCTGTTTTCAGTAGTCTGCTGCCATGTAAAATAGCATTCAAACTCACATTGTTACCATTTAACACTGAATAAAGAACATGAGGTGTACCTGAGGTGATAATGTCATCTGGTTTTCTGTTGTTCAGCTGCAAGAAAATGTGTAGAAGCTGTTAAAAAAAACATAAGTTTCAGATGTTGGTTAGGATAACAACTCCTTTTAAAATGAAAATATTCCTTCTATCGCGTGCTGTTGCTTTTATTTAGAACACAGTTTAAATCAGCCTTGAATCAATATTTAGGCCCGATAGTAAGGCTTGCTCCTGATAGTCCTCAATCTGGCAACCTGCGTTTGCGTGTGTTTTAATCCAGCAATGCAATACCTAGTTCAACCACTGGGTGTCAAATTTACATACATTTTATTTACTAATTATTTAAAAACCCATTTATCTTAGTTTGGAATTTTAGGTGTTTTAATACATCAGATGATATTACGAAACTACCTTGTCAACTCAGAAATAAAATGTATACATTTTATTTTAGTAAATATTTGTGTATATTTCATTTAAATATAAGTTGTACTCAATGTTGTGGTGATTTATTTTTTAATAATAAATTGTAAGCATTTATTTGGTTAAATTTTTTTCTATTTTTATTTTAGATTTATTTTATATTATTTTAGTAGGTTGAGTAAAACTATTGAGAAATGCCACTCTGTTAGCTAACTGAAATTAAATGAGAACTTAAATATATGTCTTTATATTAGAAAACATTTATTTTTATATTTGCCTTTTTAATTGTATAGTTATTTATGTATTATATTTATGATTATTCATATATAATATAATGTAATATTTTTATTTAAATTTAGATTTTATTTTATATCAGGAAATGTTTATTTTTTATTATTTTTATTATTTATTTTAATGGTGTAGTAGTAATATATACATTATTAACCCTCTGGGGTCGAAGACCGCGTACTTGTTTTCATCTGTAGTGTTGTTTGTTGTTGTTGTGAATGTACACAACAAAAAGTAGACACATTACAGATTCAATTGATGTATTGATCTTATCTGTACGATCAAAACTGAAAGTGTAATTTAAGTTAATTTCAGCAGTTTGACGACAATACAGATGAAAACGGGTATGCGCTGTCTTCGACCCCAGAGGGTTAATCATGTATATATTACTACTACTCCTTTAAAATGAATAATAAAAAATTAAATAAACATTTCCTAATATAAAATATAATCTAAATAAAAATATTATATTATATATAAATAAATATAAATATAATTTATGAATAACTATAGAAGTTAAAATAAAAATGCAAATATAAAAATAAAAGTTTTATAAATGAGATAAATGAGAAACTAGCTGAAATACAATTTATATATTTGTAATGTTATTTATTTTGGATGTGTATTTTTGCTTTTTTGCAGTTTTTATTTCAGTTTATTTCAAAATAATAATAATATCTCATTTTATTTCAGTAAATATAAATATTTCTATTTTCTCATTTAATTTTCATTTTATTCAATGGTATAGTCCATTTCTTTTGTATATTTCTTATATAGTTTGTTTTATTGTGTATATGTATTTATAACTTTTGCTTCTGATATGCATTGCTGATAATCATAGTAGCCCTATTCTAATATAAGTAATGGTAAATGTGGAATTACTATGGCGGCAAGATGAAAGGAGAGATTTTTTGGGGTCCACGTCGGCCTCAGATGATGAAACTGCTGCCGCAGCGTTGTAATTAGGAGGTAATATCACTGTCTGTAGAGTTGCGATCCCTATGTAATTATCGCACTTGTATTACTGGCTCCTGCCTCGGCGGTTCTGGGGAATCGGGGCTTCGAGGCGTAGGAGGGGGTGAGGAGTGAAATTAAGAAATGCTGGTTTCCGCCCACAGGTCCAGAGTACGTCGTGGATGCCTCACCAACAGTACGTTATGCAACCTACGGTAAGTGCTGCTGAGGAGGTGTTCATTTGTCTTGCTGTGTGTGTGTGTGTGTGTGTGTGTGTGTGTGTGTGTGTGTGTGTGTGTGTGTGTGTGTGTGTGTGTGTGTGTGTGTGTGTGTTGGATGTGAGGAAACAGACAGATAGAGACGAATGAGGAGAGTAGATTTGGTTTATCTTTGTAAAAGGGTAAGACAAAAATAAAAGAAAAAGCTGTTGCTCTTAACCCTCATCGCCCTCTTGTGGCCGAGCAAGTAAGCAAAAGAGATTTAAAGGGATATTTCAGAGGAACAATTACAAATTTATGATTATTTATTCACCTTATGGATATAAAATATGAATGACCTAGATTGTTGAAGACAGAGGCTGTCAAATTTTCAATTAACAGATATAATTAAAGTTGCATTTGCATCTTTGCATAAAGTTGCTTATTTTAATTAAAGGTAACCCTGGGATTTAATATGTGTATGCCAAAGTTTAATGTAAATTATGTCTCTTAATGAAATATGTTGAAAAAACATGAAACTTTTACATTACTTTAAAAAACCACCTCGTTTTATACACATTTTGGACTACGGAGGTGTTTTTGTTATTATACAATGACACTGTAATTTGTACTATTATTAAAGCAACAGAACTGGAAATACAAAAGACTGATATGTTGCCTCATTGTGTAGCTTTTGGTCAATATTTTTCCAAGAAACAACATCAAAAACTGAAGCGTTGTATGTCTTCACTGATTTCCTTTATTGAGAGGAAGAGAAAAACGGATGAGAAAATGACTGATGACTTTTAGTAAACTACAGCTACTGAAAGAGTGCAAAGGTGGAGATCGATATAAGTGAGCACTTAAACCAAAGTGGCATTGTATCAGTACTTTATTTTCTGAGTTCATTTGTGGTAATAATAGCAACAGACAGTGGCAGAAGCTCACCGAGTGCATAAAAAAATGGCGCCCCATAGTACAAATTATATGTGTATATTTTGTAATAATGTAAATATTTTAGTTTTCTCCTTCATATTTCAGTTAAAGACATCATTTGTGTTCAAATATTAACAAATGCCTTTAAAGTTTTAGCAATTTAATTGATTATATTTTAAGTTCACAGTTATATTATTAAAATTTTGTGTTAAATATAAATAAATGTTATACAGATAATTGTTCTTTTTATCAGGATTATCATAATTATTTAGTTTTTCTGTTTTTTTAATGCTACGTCTACACTGATTCTGATCAATATGAAAATCACATTTTCATCTAAAAACGCTCCATGGCTGCTCTATCACTTTCAGTTCCTTTCGTCATCCACATTAAAAGGCTGAATATGCTTTTGTTCATGTTCTGCGCATGCTGAAATACGCTTTTACCTGTGTCATCCCTTCTGAAGATTGTTTACTTTCCATCTCTTTGAAAAATGTTGCAGCTGTTGACTTCCGTTGCTGAACAGTAGCTTCCAGTTAACATTGTGTCTTTTGAAGAGAGGAAGTAAAGTGCATGTATAACTGACATTAATTTTGATAATGCTTTCAATACAAAGGATATTCAAAATATCTGCTGTACAATGTTGTCCATCATGTTAACTTATTGGTTGCATGACTTTGTCAAATGACTAAAATGCATCCTTGTTTTCAAAAGCCTCAGTTTTCACAGTCCATACTACAAAACAAAAAATGGCGTTTTTAAATGTATCCACTTTGGACAGTGTTTTAAAAAGATATGTTTTACTTTCCTTAAAACACCACCTTAGTGTGGATGGAAGGCCAAAACGGAGAGAAAAAGAAGTATTTTTAAATGGAAACGTATTAGTGACTACATTAACACAGACATTAGTAATCAAATTATTTGCCTTAATCTAAATAAGACTATATTATGATTTAGGTGTTTACATGAGTTGCCTTTTAAATGTTCCTTTCATGATCCCATTTTGGATGTAGCACATAATTCAATTAACGTCATCACACTATCCACATTTTCTCTGGAGTTTCAGGTTATTTGGGGTGTTTTATTTTGGATTTGTCAACTTTAACTGCAGTTTGGGACTTCACTTTCATTCAGAAACATTTCATGCATGCTCCCCTTGACAAACGAGATTTTAGATGCGAGTATGAACTGCTGGAAGAGTGTTGTTTTAATGGAATTTTTGATACCGCATGCCCTATGGAAAAGAAAAACCCTCCGCATTTTGTGAATCAGGCGTCTGTGGTCCTTCTCTGACTCGGTAGGTGCAGAGAATAGTGTCATACTGTACAGTTGTGTGTGTTTACAGACTATCCTGTCTCAAAATGCGTCAAAAAGTCCTACATGACGGTAATAGTTTGATTGCAGTGATTACATGTTTGTACTGCACTTCAATAATGCGACTAAAATAATTAATATATGAATTAATCTAAAATCACGGTTTACATGCTCGACTCTTAATCAGAGTATTGTCTTAATCCCATTAAAATCTGATTATTGGTCACCATGTAGACATACTCAGTGTGTACATGGCCTAAATCTGTTCAAATTCTTAATACTGTATGAAAAATGTTTGCTAAATCTGATTTAAATGAGTTTTTGTCTTTCTATATATTTTTCTATTCCTTTTCTAACTATTTGTTTTTGAACTCTTCTTCAGACCCCCTAGAATGCTCTTTTAGTCCACCAGTTTAAAGATGGAACAAAGCACTTTAATCAAGTCGTAGTGCCTTTTTTTGTGTCATTTTGATGCTTGACAGTTCATAATTCTTCTAAAGAAAGGACGTTTTTCACGCAAGAAAGGAACATACAGCTGCTTAGGATGATTAAATGATGGCAGGATTGTCATTTTTGGGTGAACGGTCCCTTTAAGGCCGGTAGACTCGAAGATTCATTTCTCCAGTCTGCAGTCTGCGACAGATAAATAGATCCCTTGTCTGAGCTCCATCGACACAACTTTGTCAAGCTGGAGAGCCTCTCACTCTGTCTCGCTCTACAAACTACCTGTCTTGTGTTCTTTCGCTTAAGTCTTGTATAAGAAGGCAACCCCTCGGCTGGGGTCTGGAGGTCTGCCCACCATCTCTCTGGCTCTCACCTGAACTTGGATTTACTGTAAGCCAGGGGTCTGCATTCCTCCATGGAAATGGCCAAAGGTAGTCTGGGATCAGGGCTTTTTTTTTTACTTTCTTTCTTTGGTACGGCCTGAAAAAAGCTTCAGTCAGCTGTTTCCAGATCCGCAGCAGGCTTCATTCGATCCTGAGCAACTCGAGTAGTGAAACAGGGTTATAGAAAAGCAGGCAGATGTCTGTCTGACTAGATAATGATATTCCAGACTTCTTCTTGTTTGTGTGTGTGTGTGTGTGTGTGTGTGTGTGTGTGTGTGTGTGTGTGTGTGTGTGTGTGTGTGTGTGTGTGTGTGTGTGTCATCGAATGGGAGGTTTGATGATCATGATTATGTTGTGTAAATGTGTTTGTAACCAAACCCTCATATCTAATGATCTGGCAACCCATCAAAAAAGACCTCAGCTGCCTGAGAGAGAGAGAGAGAGAGAGAGAGGCGGTGGGAGTCTGTGAGCTGATCTCTGCCTAATTTGAAAATCCTGGAAGAAAAACAAAGGCGGAAGAAATCTTTCTTTTTTTTGTGGGTCCTGCAAAGAGAGAAGGCAAGCAATTAAAAGTGGCTGAGAAAGGGAAGCATTGTTATTGGAGAGCGCCGCTGCATTTGGCACCTTGTTACCGTGGAGACACGTGACCATAGCGACCGGAGCAGGCGATGAGAGTTTAAGCAGATCAGCAGACAATGCAGGCGCTCTGAGCTCCTCTGCACTGCAGTGTGTGTGTGTGGTGTGTGTGTGTTTAGTATACATCAGTACCTTAAGTGCACCTGCTGTTGTGACCTGCAGATTGTGTTGACCATACAGCTGAGTTATGCATTACTATTCCGACCAGATGACAGGTGTGTGTGTGTGTGTGTGTGTGTGTGTGTGTGTGTGTGTGTGTGTGTGTGTGTGTGTGTGTGTGTGTGTGTGTGTGTGTGTGTGTGTGTGTGTGTGCGCAATGCAAATTTTTTAATTTTAATTGAATCAACCATGAACCAAACAATGCTGAATTTGGGATTTAATTGGGAATGACAGGAAGAGGAGTTACTGCAATGCAAGTCAAGGGAAATTTAACAAAGACACATGACAGAACAGTTTTATTACCTTAGCAAAAGGATCTAGAACAGATCAGTTTTCAGCCTACTTTATTTTACTTTATTTTTTACTCTTTTGTGATTTGCCTTTGTTTCCAACTTTAATATTTTTGTAATGTTTTTATTTTAATGTTTTAAAATATTTCAGATTCTTATTTAATATGTTTTCTTGTTGTTTTTATTACATTAAGACCAAAATCAAGTGTCGTAGTGCAGCAGGATTATGTTTGTATGATTTTAATTTTTTTTGTAAACCAACAATGCTCTGTGCGTAAACCAGTATCATTCATTCTTTATATGACTTTAATAGACATTAGTCAAAATATGGTCAACCGCTTGGTAGAACAGGCAGTTAAAGGGTTAAAGCCAATTGTGATTTCCTGAAAGAAAGAAAATTCTCTAAATTACAATATTTTGACATTTGGAAGAACAGTTATCGGAATAAATATTAAATTAAAATTAATATTAAAATCGCACGCAGTAAATCTAGAGAAATGTAGCATATTTCGTATATTTAGATGTCTTTTAATAGTGTAATGATCATAGTTGATCCGTAGTCCATGCAAGACGCACATCACAGTTTGGGATGCATGTGATCCACGAATTTAATCTACAATTAAAGTTGCAACAGATTTTAAATCATTCACAGGCCTGTAGCCAGCCTGGTGAAAGGGGTGGTTCTTTTTTCTTAAAAAGTAGACATTTTTGCAGTTATTTGCCTTATTTTCTGTTTAATCATGAGATGTAAATACTGCATTTTAGTCATATTTTAAGCACTATTTTTTAGCTGAATTTGCTTGTTGGATGGTCATCATAACCACACTGTTTGATGTTCTAAATAATTCCTGAAGAT